CCGCTGATCTGATGTTGCTCTGAGCTGTCATCATCTGCTACAGCAACAGCATTTAAATGCAAGGAAGCACCATCAGGACAACAAAATGGTTTTTGGCTGGTGGGCAGCCTGACAGTGATCCCAGGTAAATCAGTTCTCCAGAGCTCCAGACAGGGGCAGCTGGAATTACTCAAGGCACCAGGAGCATGCCAGTGACCCTCATGGAAGGGGCTGGTTCTCTCATCCCAACCAGCAGGCTGGCACAGCAAAAGGTGTTTCCAGGCTGGCCTTGGGTCAAAGACCTCTCTAGGGTTGGTGAGGACTTTATTTTGCCTCTGTGGACTTCCCTGAAAATCTTCCCTAGAGATATTAAAGAGCTGGACAAAATCCTGAGAAATGTGTTCTAGGGACCCTGCCTGAGCAGGAGGAGTGGACTAGATCATCTCCAGTGGTCCTTCCAACCTTAATCCTGGGATTCTGTGATTGTCTCCTGGGCTGCAGAATGCAGGTGTTTGGACATGGAGGGTGAGCCCATAAAAACATCCAAGATCTGGCTAATCTCTCTTCCTCCAAAATCAAAGTACCCCAATGGAGGAGGAGAATCCTTCTATGGTATGGGGACAAAACTTGAGTTCATTAAGCTGAAGGAAAGTCTCTGCCTTGCTGATCCCAGAGCAACATTGCCTTCACGTGGGCACCACTGGGCAAGAGATGGGGAATTAGGATCCTGGAGCATGATAGGCACACTTTGCCTCCTCATTGTCTTTGCTGTGGATGTGTCCCCAAAGCTTGGCTAATGGAAGTGTCAGCTCTGCCCTTGCAGTGGGGAGTGAAAACAAAAGCTGAAATGTGGTATCAGGACTCGGTTTAGTCATGGATTAGTCTCTGCTGTGGCAGACATTGCTATCCAGGCAAAAAGCAGATTAAATCCGTGAATTCAATTTTCTTGCAGTATCTTATGGGCAATGCTTATGCTTGTTGGTGTCAATGCAAGTGTTATCTAGGACCACACTTGTGGCTTGGAAAAGAGGGAGAAGACTTTGTGCTAGCAAAGTAATCATGAACAGAGCTTCTGGATCTCCACAACCCCCTGAAAGCAGGGGGCAGCCAGGTGGGGGTCGGGCTCTGCCCCCAGGGAACGAGGGATAGAAAGAGAGGAAATGACCTTGAGCTGTTCCAGGAGAGGTTTAGGTTGAATATTGGGAAAAGTTTCTTCACAGAAAGTGTGGTCTGGCTCTGGAGGAGGCATTCAGGGAAGTGGTGGAGTCCTCACTTCTGGAAGTGTTCAATAGTCATGTGAATGTGGCACCTGGGGGCAAGGGTTGAACATGAGGACTCTGGGTTAATGAACTCTCTGATCTTGGAGAACTCTTCCAGCCTTAACAATCCTGTGATTCCCTGACACTGCTAATGTGTGAACGTCTGTGGAATTCAAAGGGATGAGTGCCTGCTTTTGGTGTTGATTGTGGTGAGCTACCTGGACAAGGATGCTCAGCTCATGTTTGCAGGGTGACACTGCATTTACCTTGTGTACACCAGACCAAAATGTGGGCTGGGAAAGCAACCCCCACCAGGGCCCTTTGCATCTAGATGCAATGAGCAGGAGAAGGTAAACTCAAAACCAACTAGCTTTAAAATGTAATCTTCTGTTTTGAGCTGTTATTAGTTTGCCAGGGCTTTCTGGGGCTCACCAGCACCCTGCTTTAGTGAGGACTGGCTCTTTGTTTTGCAGACTGGCTTGGTTATGCCAGCAGTGTAATTGGATAACTGCTAATAAGCATAGGATTGCTGAAGTATTCCCCAAAGTCTTTGCTTTGCTGTAAAAATCCTCATCAGCAATTGGATTAGTTGAAGAGAATGAACAATTACTACGTAGGGTAATGTGTTATGTTAAGACAAATTGATGGGTTTTATTTAATCATATGGTTGCGGTCACATCTTGACGGTGTTATTCCAATGAAGAGAAATGCATCACTGCACCAGTAGGCACTAGCAAAAAATACTGAAAAATGCTTTATTTAATTAATTAGTTCCTACAGATAAGGCTAATTGACTCTGTACCAGAACAAAATGAGTTAGGCTTTTGCTTTCAGATAGGTTAGCTCTATGTATCTTCCTGCACACATACCACAGATAAAGTTTGTGTGTTCTGGACCTTGGGAAAGTGCATGACTGAGTTCCTCTCAAGGACTCTCTTTGTATGAGAAGCAAAATCCAAATCAAAACCATGACCAGCTGATCTGCCTACCTGGTGCTCTCTTGTTCACCATGGCTCTGGCATCAAAGGCCCTCCAGAGATTTAACTGAATTAAGGGCTCCCACAACTCAGTAAAAGCTGGGAATCAAGGGCTGAGGTTATACCAGGCATCGAGAGACAAGAGAGTCACAGGAGATGAGAGACAGGCTTTCTCTGCTTCACTTATGTGCTAGATAGAGAACGTGTCCTAGGAAATGTGGGGGAGTCTTGCTGGGTTTCAATGTCTGGTATGGCCCTAAGGCATTTTTGTCTGGAATTCAGCTGAACCTCAGCGTGGTGGCACAGGTTGGAGTGTTGGTGTGTGCAGAGGGTTTGGCACTTTCACCTGCTCTCACACCTTGTCTCCAGGCCTGCACAATGGTTTACATGTGACCTGCTGCAGCCTGGGAGAGCACACGGCCCTCAGAGGCTGAGCAATTCAGCATGAGCTCCTCACAGCAGCCAAGAGGCTTCGCCTCACAATTCCCTCCAAGAATGGGCCAGGGGAAGTGCAGGATTCCCATTCATTATGCAGCTTTTACCTCTTTGTGGTGAATTTGGGCCAGGCCACCAGCAACAAATACAACTTGCAGGGAAACAGGGTATGTGAGTGGTTCTTTGGCCTGGGTTTGCAGCTCTGTCATTGAGGAGCAGCAGGTCTGATCCCACCACCTCTGGCTTTAATTAATATCGTGGCCGAATCATGCTGTTATCTGACAGCAGGGGAAATTATCACCTCAAGAAGTACTGCTGTGGGTGGCACATATTGTGTAACCTGCTCTCTCTCGGAGGGGCACTGTGGAGGATTAGTTTGCATTTAAGAGGTGCTGTGTGTAATTATGCACAGTTTTGCAAACCTATCCATTTCTGACAGGCCCTCTCCTGTTGTTTCTCCTGCTGGCATCTGGCTTGCTCAGGACTCCCTGAGCTGCTGTGATGGACTGGCCCTGCCTGCCAGGGAGATTTGAGCAGGAGGGATCTGGGTGAAGAAGGCATGATGTACATGCTTGTGCTTTGGGATGAAATAGTTTCTCTTGGTGCTGTTGTTCTGGGATGTTTTGTACCATTCACAAAGATTAAAACAGAAAGAAGACGATGGGGTGCTCAAAACACTGTAAAAAGGCAGGTGTCCCATCCTGGGGTTTATCCTCAGCAAAGATGCATCTCTAATAGCCTCAGTCAAGTCCCATCCTTCATTTCTGAATTGACTCTTTCCCCAGTTAAAGAGCCAGAGGTTTTACATAGTGCCTGTAAATGCTCCAGGAATGTAGGAATTAACAGGCCAGACTGGGCCAAGGGCCTGTCCAAGCGGGGATCTTGAGCACGGTGCAAGCCAGTGCCAGATGTTTTGCAAAACGCCTCCACTATGGATATCTTTCACACCTCATTTCTCCCTCATTCCCATCAGCTTCATGGCTGGTCCCATAGCATTCCATGTTGTGTTTCCAGCAGCTGCTCTCTCCCTGCCTGCAGCCCATGAAGATGGGTTGTTGAAGGATCTCAGCAAACACACAGGGCCTCCATCCCTGCTTTCAGAGGGGGATGTTGTCTCACTCATGTCCTGAAGTCAGTGTGAGGAAGATTTTTACAGCAGAGATTATTTCCTTGCCTATGAGACAGTTTTAGAGAGACAAGGAAATGACTTGCAGGAAAAGTCTGCAATTCAGGGAAAACACTCAAAATTTCTGTGAGATAATATACAGAACCCAAATATTTTAGAAAACAGGTTTTGTTGTTTATTTCATTTTCTAGAGTGTTTGAGTCTATATCACAGAATGGATTATATTGGAAAGGACCTTTAAAATTAATCTAGTCCAACCCCACGGCCATGGGCAGGAACATTTCTCACTAGGCAAAGTTGCTCCAAACCTCATCCAACCTGGCCTCAAACACTTCCAAGGAGGATGCATCCATGTCTTTTTTGGGCAATCTGTGCCAGGGCCTCAACACTCCCAGCACAAAAAAATGTCTTCCTCTTATCTAGGCTGAGTCTCCTCTCTTTTTGTTTAAAACCATCACTCCCTTTTCTATCTCCAAAGGCTCTGTTAAAACTTTTTTCTTTTTCTGCTTAAGACAGGAAAGCCAAAACAAGCTCAAAGCAGTATTCATCAGCATACACTTCAACTTGGAGCCAAAACAAGACTTTGAACCCAAACCTACGTTTTGGCTCCAGCATTTTCTTGGATAAGAAACACCATTAGTCAAAACTAGCACTCTTGTAATCAGCTTTAACTTGTTCCCTTTTACTTGTGTTTTTTTACAAACCTTTTGCAAGTGGAGAGTGACAGCTGTTTGTCCAACTCTTTTCCTGGGTGGTGCTCTGTCCTGACCACTGCTGGCCCCTATGACCTCTGTGTACGGTTATTAATTTTTGTGGTGTTGTTGAGGGTCTCAGGATGAGGTGGGAGATGAGAATTGGCTCCTAAATTCCCAGAAGTTCGATTTACTATTTTATGATATTATATTATATTAAAAGACAATGATATACTAAAACTGTACTAAAGAAAGAGAAAGGAGACATCAGAAGGCTAGCCAAGAATGATAATAAAAAACCCGTGACTGACTCAGAGAGCCCGACATAGCTGTGATTGGCTATTAATTAAAAGCAATTCACATGTTAGGTAAGCAATTCTCCAAATCACATTCCAAAGGAGCAAAACACGGAGAAGCTGAAGCTTCCCAGCTTCTCAGGAGAAAAAAGCTGAAGCTTCTCAGGAGAAAACATCCCGGCGAAGGGATTTTTCAGAAAACACATCAGTGACCGCCGTGTGCTCTTCTCTTCCAGGTGCTCCCTTTCAAAGGTCTCAGCATCCCCATGCTACCTCCTGCCGGCACTTCCACCTGGGTCCCCAGCCTCAGCTCTCGGCCGACTTCGCCCTGC